AGATTATTTGCTGGGGAGTATAGACATCTGCAAATTTTTGGGTAAGGTGATTTACGAGGGGCCGAATTTTGTGGAGCCAGTAAAATTCAGGGTCACTCTGAAGACGGAAGAGTGTATTGTCGTTGAAATGCATAAAACACATTATACTCTCATATCTATGCCTGGCCATGGCAGGAGAGAACATGGGCATATGGTGAATTGGATCTGTGGACCAATACAACCGCAACTCTTTTTTTAGTAATGCCCATGTTGAGGGTTAGGCTCAAAAAAAATTTTAATTTGAAATCGTAATGGGTTTCCATGCGAATGGTCTGGCAAGGTTTGAATTTGGGTTTGATCCTCAAACAATTCATACAGATCTTCTGTGAAAAATAGCTTAAAAAAAATCAAGGGGAATAGTTAAATTTGCTGTTTCCACTTGAATTCCGGGTTTGAGAGTGAATGGGGAAAGTACGGGTGCTGCAGAATTTGTGGGCTGCCAATCGGATTTGCAAGCACATCCGGAAGGATAGTAGTGGCTCTATGGGCCTGTGTGTGAATTCTTGGTGGTTTCGGGACAATACTTGTGCTCGCCACCACACCAGCTTGTACTGCACTTATGGAACTCGCCACGTCACCAAGTGATACTGCAGTGCTGGTATGTGAAAGACCAGGATGTACTAGACCGCTGGTGCTCGCCACTTCACCAAAAGGTAGAGCGGCACTAGTACTGGAACTCTGCTGCATATGAAAGTCATCAAAATTTACCGGCAAGTGGTAGCAGAGGCCTGATTCTGCGAACACTGCGGTTTTGTGTGTAATGTTTCAAGTGGCAGTGACCTACTGACACTGCACTTTCTGGGGGAGAATGGGGGGATAAGCTTAGTGGCTAAACACAGGTGCTGGCAGGTGCCGGGGCTTATCTCGCTTAGGCAGGCCATAGACGTATCATTTATCTGCCTAATTTTCGTCCACGCGAAAAATCGGCCGATATTCACGTTGTTAGTGGGCCCAGTCCATCGGCCGTTTTTCATGGATCTTCTCATTTATTTTTATCGGTCATGCTGGAAAATCCACGAAAAACAGCTGTTTTTCGTGGACGATGGTGGCAGCATCGGCAGCGGCGCCGACCGATTTTTCATTTATCGGCTGACAATTCGGCCGATAAACGGCCCATCTATGGCCTGCCTAACGCTGCCTTTTTGGGGACGCTATACTAATCTGAACACTGGTATAGTGCTGATCTGATCAAAAATATTGATGCGTTCAGACACTATACTAGCAATGGAGGTTTATTGTGCATGAGCGTGTTCCTGGCAATCAAAGGGTTAAATGTGATTACTGGTGTACTGACAGGCAATCTGATGCTATCTGGGAGGGGCGTGAAAACCACGGGAGTGCGAATCATGTCTATATATGTGATTTTGTGCACCCGTGTCACCCTGTAGCAGTATTTCTGCTATAGGGCAGTCAGGAAGCAGTTAAAGAAGAGGTTTGCGTTACGGCACTGCATTGCTTAACTGACAATTACGCGATCATGCAACACTGCACCCAAATGAAATTTGCGTCCTTTTTTCCCATAAATTGAGCTTTCTTTCAGTGGTATTTGATCACCTGTGTGTTTTTTATTTTTTGCCCTAAAAAAAAAAAAGACTGACAATTTTGAGAAAAAACTATATTTTGGACTTTTTGCTATTAAACATGTCCAGTAAAACAATTAAAAATCAAATTTCATCATAAATTTAGGCCAAAATGTATTCTGCAACATGACTTTGCTTAAAAAAATCCCAATACTTGTAAATTAATTGGTTTACGTGAAAGTTATAGCGTTTACAATTATGGATACTGGCAATCAGCAACTTATGATGGCGATCAGTAACTTATAGCGGGACTTCGGGGGGCATTCTGACACTGGGGGAACTGACTTGGTGTCACTGATATCCCCAGTGATACCAATACAGTGATCAGTGCTAAAAAAAAAAGCACTGACATTGTACTAATGGCACTGGGCAGGAATGGGTTAACATAAGGGGCAATCAAAGGGTTAACTGTGTGATGGGAGTGTTTTACTAAGGGTTCGGGGGGTGTGCTTCACTGTAAATACACTGTTCTGGATGGCTGTGTTCAGCCATCCAGAGCAGTGTGCCCAAACTGACAGGGAGTAGGGCTGTTGGTAAACAATGCAGCCTTCCTCCCTGTCGGTGATCGCCGGTAATCACTGGGCGCTGGCAGGTAATCACCGGCCGGGACTTGGTGACTGACATCTGGGGCAGCGATTGGCGCCGCGGGTAGAGTGTGTGTGCGGCTTCGTGTCCCCTACCCGGAAATGCAGAATCACGTATATATATGCAATCCTGCGCACAGTAAATCTACTGTAGGGCGGTCCTAAATCGGTTAATGGGTACAATGTCTTCAACTATTCTCCTAATATTACAAACAAGGGTTGCATTATTTGAAAAATAAAATTACCTGCTTGAAATGGTCCTCTAGATCAGTAGTCTCCAAACTGTGGCCTGGGGGCTGGATGTGGCCCTTTGCTTGCCTTTATCTGGCCCTCAGGGCACTTTTCCTCATACTGATACAAGACACTATTCCTTTCCTCCCACCAACAATGGGGCATAATTACTGCTACTGCCATCAACAATGAGGCACTATTTCTCCCATCGACACCAACTATGGGGCACTATTACTCACACTGACACCAATGATGGGGCACAATTACTCACACTGACACCAATGATGGGGCACTATTCCTGCCACTGACACCAATGATGGGGCACTATTTTCCCACAATGACACCAACAATAGGAGACTATTCCTCAAACTGACACCAATGATGGGCCACTATTCCTCCTACTGACACAACTGGGTACTATTCCTCCCACTGACACCAACAATTGGGCACTATTCCTCCCACTTACACCAATGAAGGGGCGCTATTCCTAATATCAAAGATGTGTTGTTTACTCCCACTGATGCCAGGACAATTTCTACTCCCAATAGCCACAGTCCAGCCCTCTGAAAGTTTGATGAACAGTAAACTGGCCTATGTTTAGAAAGTTTGAAGACCCCTGCTCTAAATGGTTTCACAGTCAGGACCAGGTCCATTGAACTATGCAACCTCAATGCAACAGCATGTACAGTTTTCAATGTGTCCTGTTCATACCACGCAGGTGCATTGTGGTGAACTTCATCAAATTGCAGTATATTTATGTATATTTACGCAGTACAGTGTCACCACATTGTAGCACGTTGCAACATGCTGCAGTGCATAGAGCTGAATGAAGTGCCATTTTGTGATACTTCAATGAAGTTTAAAAAAAGAAAAAACTAAGTGAGATGTATTATAACAATGCATTGTACATCCTCCATACAATACACACCAGTGCTCATGCATTATAGCATGTGGGTTGCTATGAAAAAGCCCTAACAATTACAGATTCAGTCATGGACAAGTTTTACTTATGATGGTTATAAATATTTGATGATGATAAATATTGAAAAAAAAAATATTCTTTATATTGGCAGAACCATGCATGCAGGTTTCTCAACTAAGATAATAGCATATTCAGAAGTTATTTGCCTTGCAGGTTCACATGATCCCTGGTGACGTCAGTGTCTGCAAACAGACAGAAAGACAGACAAATGGTAATGTACTGATAAGGAACAAACTCATACTATGTATTAGTTGGTGCTGCCTAATCTTATTTATTTTCATCACAATATGTTAGTGGGGTGTCTGTTCGAACTATTCACTGCTGCACTATTTTATAAACCCCATAATCATAATGAGAAGCATTTTCTACATCCTGGTGTAAAAATCCATATATTGAGTTATGGCTCCTTCATGTTGTCTGAACTTCTTTTTGTATGGTCCTGGCACATTCGGCAGTCTTGGGTTGTGCTCCACTCATTGTACATCTATTAGATCCTATGAAAAATCCAACAGCTAGCACACTTTTGTGATGCTAAATCAGGCCTCCTAGCCCTGTGAACTTTTTCAAAGCAAGTATAGAAATGAATCAAATGAAAAATGCAGCGCACCACTATAAACTCAAATGGTGCTCATAATACAAACATGCATAAATAAACAGTGAAACAGAAATTGTGTATGTGACAATAAATATGTGCTACATCCAATGTATTCTTACTTCGTACACATAAATCACCATAGACTTGCACATACGAGTGCTGAAATGAATATAGCTATAAAAACCAAATAAATTATATTTAATAGTGAACTGTCCCTTTAAGTCTCAGAAATCTTCATGTGTGTTTGTGCGGTATGTCGCCTATAGATCGTGCTCCACACCATACACCAACAACAAAAATCTCCAAACAATGGTGAATCATCTCTTTAAATCTGAGGTACTCCAAGTGGATCAGTGTAATCACCAGGGGTGGACTAACAACTCATGGGGCCCCTGGGCAATAGGGGATCATGGGGCCCCTGTATCCTCACCAACACTCAAACCACACCCAAAAAAGCCTATTAAAGGTACCAGGGGCATCTCATGGGGCCCCCTACTGACCCAGTTCTTGAATGGTCAGTCCGCCCCTGGTAATCACGCTACTGCATACATGAGTATGGTGCTCCTGTGTCACCCCTTAGTCTATATCCACCTCCACCACACTATTGCGCTCACCTCCAGGTTTGACCCGTAATGCTAGGTGAAACTATGCTTTTCCCTTCAACCCGGGAGGGTATACTGGTACATAGATCTTCACCACCGTCAGCACTTTAAACTCTCCAGAACGCTCTACAAACATAGGAAAAAATACTCCATATAGTGTAATATTGCCAGGTAAAAAACAAGCTTTATTAAAATGCTCAAAATGAACTCACATTTAAAAGTGTCCACCTGAGACACTACAGAGTAAAACTCACTATACAGTATGTACAGGAATCTCTTTTCCAAAATGGCGGCATGTGCACTTCCAGTTTGCGGCTTGACGTCATCGACGTTTATAGATAGGTATATAAATGAAGTTCTCTTGTCTTTGTGTCTTTTTTTATTCAGCTAGCATGCACAGTATGTTTCCTACATCTAATGTACACCTGTAGCTAGATCTCAGCACTAAAAGTGTCACTAAACCCAGGACCCTGCATTCATTATATCTGGTCTCCCACAGTACACAGAACATGGAAGTGCAATTATATAAATAAAAATCCCAATACGTGTAAATTAATTGGTTTACATGAAAGTTATAGCGTTTACAAATGGCGGTATATATACTGGGATTTTTTTGTATTCATTTTTACTATTAATGGCGGCGATCAACGACTTATTGCGGGACTGCAGCGGGCATTCTGACACTGGGGGGAACTGACTTGGTGTCACTGAGATCCCCAGTGGCACCAATACAGTGATCATTGCTAATAAAAAGCACTGACACTGTACTAATGGAACTGGGCAGGAAGGGGTTAAAATGTGGGGCAATCAAAGGGTTAACTGTTTGCTGTGTGTTTTACTTTGTGCTGTGTGTGTTTTCAACTGTAAGCACGCTGCTTTGCATGGATCTGCTATGCAGAGTCATGCAAAACAGTGTGCAGGAGCTGACAGGGGAGAGCACTGTATTGTTTGCATACAGTTCTTTCCCTCCGTCGGTAATGCTCCTCAATCACTGGATACCAGCGAGTAATCCCCGGCTGATTGACTGCCGAGGCCGTGAATAGTGGCGCAGGTAGGGCGCGCGGCTCGCATGTGCCCCCTACCCAGAAATGCAAAATCATGTATATATACGAGATTTTGCACACCCGTGTTGCCCTGTAGCAGTATTATTGCTATAGGGCAGATGGGGAGCGGTTAAGCACCCCTTTCAGTGTTAAATAGTTTCTCTGCTCCATGTAAACTGATACATTCTCATTGAAAGCTTGTGCTTCTGAAAATCAACAGATTTGTTGGCTGGATCACCACATGAAAATAGAAGAAAGCGTAGAAAAGGAAACAAATGCAACCATCACATCGAAGAATTGGTAAGCTACAATATAATAAATGTTTGCTTTTTGGTTTAATACTGCTTGAAGTCTCACAATTGTTTATCTTGTTATTGTCCTATACCCACATATTATGATTTGTGACTACCTTTTTCCTTAGGTGAAAATGCCTTCAAGAGTCCTCACACGTCTTTCTATTGCAGAGAAAGCCAGGGGTCATGTCAGACCAGTTCTGTTACTGAGTACTAATTACTAAGTGCATTGGTTTTACCTCTGGTGCCTATTAGACTGTCATTAGACAGGGCAGACTAGGGGAATGACTAGGGGTAGTTAACACAATATTTATCTGACTCTGTTTCTGACACTACAAGTGAGCTTTCTGCTAATCAAATGTTGTACCATTGTCTCTTTTTTGTATTTTTACAGAGAATAGGACAGCAAAAAGGGAGACACAAAGCTGAATTGGAGAATTCAACCATCACCTTATTCCATCTATAGCTCAAAAGTGTTACTAAACCCCGGACCCTGCATTCACTATATCTGGTCTCCCACAATACACAGAACATGGAAATGCAAATATTTTAGTAAATATAAACTGCTAAATACCTTTTCTCCTCAGCAGTTAGAGCAGTCTTGTGACTTCTAGCAGTATCCAGCAGAGAACTGGTTAAACTTGTAGGAGGAGTTTTCATTCTCCCCTAATTGTCCTATGAGACTGCAGGACCCCTGACCCTCTGTCTGAACAGCGCTGATTGGCTCTTTGCTGATCACATGCACTCTTCCAAGAAAAAAAAAACTCTCTAGCAATACACACCAAGCTGAGCATGTACAACTTTCCCCCAGGGCTCTGTTCTATCAGCATATGGATTGGGAACATTAGAGGAGGAGGAGTAGCAGAGAAGACAGGATAAAACTGTGTTTTTACACAATGCAGACAATTAACCCCTTAGGTTCCACAGTCAGTATAACAAGCATGCTTTACTGCATTTACAGACTGATTTTACTGTTGTGGGTTTAGTAACACTTTATGCTTTTGGTAGGATGATCCTTTAACTCTTCTTAGAAAGTATCATATGTTGTAGAAATTAATTCTGAGTTAAGCATGTAAAGGTGAGTGATCCAGCTATCCAAACAAGGTCACACCTTTTCTTAAATGATACACAGCCATACATATACCAAAAATAATTCAATCATAAAAATCAATTCCAAAGTTAATGCATTTTCACCCATTTTTATTAATGGATACATTAATATGTTGGAACTGTAGCTGCAATTCAGTGACGTACACTGGGGAAAAACTGTAAGCCTCAAATTCACACAAAGCCTTGCTTGTTCAGTGCACTAAATCTCATCCTAATTCCACTGTGTCTCTTTTATCCTTCCATACAATCGCTCACAAAGAGGCACAGATTTCCACAACTTGGGAAATGTCACTGATTGGCCAATTCGCAGAGAAAGGTCGGATTTGCATCAAAAAGAGCCTTACAACTCATTGAAATTCCTCACATGTCCAAAACAGGGAGAGAAAAAGACTTCTAAAGGAATCCCAACATATTTCACACATCCACCACTCTACCCAGTACTGACACCTGTTGTCCACTATACTGGCTCATACGTAAAGAAATACAAATGATCAGTAGCTGCAGAAGAATGATCTACAAAGCCTAAAGAATTACTGTGAAGACCTCAGATATTATTACAGGTAAAAATGGCTTTTGGTACAAAAAACTTAGCTGAGGCTTTGTAACATTTATATTACAATAGGCAGATTAAAAGCAAAATTTATTGGCAGTAATACTTCTCAGAAAGTTGTATTACCCTATATTTATATTGTTATACTACAAATTCTGAGCAGGGATACCTATGCTATGCTAAATATATTTTAAGTACGCTCACATGTTTACTTTTCCACTTTGCATCTGACTTTATATACAGTATATGTGTATTTGTTCCTAGTACTAACCTTCAATATGACTTCTTTAGCTATTAAATATTCTGGATTATGATAAAATCAGCCCTGAAAGTTTTCGCTCCTTTCTCAGGCCCCTCTGTCATTGTTGCAGAATTTTCAGTACATTCATTTTATTTGCCAAAACACACAGATGCCTGATAAGTGACCTGGATATTTCATCAGTTGATAAAGTTGCCTGATCTTTTATTTCGGATCCAACATTTGTTGACTGAAGAGCATTTGGAAGATAGCTTTGCAAACTGTAAGTACTTTTATTGGGAATCTAAGGCTCCATGCACACGGGGCGTTTTGATAACACTGTTAGCGTTAGCCAGCCATGTAAAGTCATGTTAAAAACACAAGTTTTTCAACGTTTTTTCATTAGCATTTAGCTGTGTTTATCCATGTTTTTCCACATTTGCGTTGTTTAGCATTTTGTACACCAAAAAAGATTGCTTTGCTGCATTTATTAGCGTTAGAGCGTTTTTACAGCTTAAAAACTCATCTAGAAACCCACTAATTCTGGGGTTTTTTTGCAGCCAAAAAACACCCCTGCCAAAAAAAACACTAATAAAGCCTATGTGTGCATGGACACAGGATAACATGCTGGGGAGTTTACTGGCTGTAGAAAAAAATGCCAAAAGCCAAAAACAGCAGCTGTAAAAATGTCCAGTGTGCATGAGGACTTAATGATGGATAGATAATTACAATAATACTGGTGTATTTAAGGTAGTTGCTTATAGAAACGTATATTATGATGATCATAGGCTGCTTTCTATGTTAGCTCAATTCGCTTCCTATAGTGAGTATTTTAATGTGTATCTTTGTGCATTGGAAAATAGGTAAATGCTGCAAGTTGCCTTAACCAAAGTTTTGTCACATTGAATGTGGTGCTATGTGGTCTGTAGACAGCTCAGGCTGAAGTCTATGGCAAGAAAAACATATGAGCACAATAAGGCTTCAAGAGCCTGCATAGGCATATGAGAGCAATACACAATTTCCAAAATATCACTACCTCACATAATCCAATTAAAAAAAAAAATAAAACCAAATATAACGAAGAAAATATACTTAATCTTATAGGTAAATTTCTGTTTATGGATTAAATTTGCATTATCGAAGTTTATAGTGAACTTGACATATTGGAAGTCAACTACTGCTACAATAGGGTTACAGGTGATGATTTAAACAATGAGATCTATCTTGAGATGTACATCGAAAATAGTATTGTAAACAGACAACAGTGCTGTACTGTGAAGTTAGAGGAGGAATGCAAGAGAATATAAGTAGTTCTAAAGTGCAGAAACTGAATTCCTTAAGGGTCAGTTCACAACACAAAAACTTACTCCAGATCCATACCAGATGCATTTCTGCATACTTGTTTTTAAAACATTTTTGATGCGTTCCGGTGTGTTTTTGTTGTGTTTTTAAAGTGTTTTACGGATGCATTCCAGATGTTTTTTTTTTCCTTCTTTTTTTCACTGTACTGGGGTCCAGTCTGTTTTTGATGCGTTTTACCGCATCCCAGTACCAGTTCAGTGCAGTGGAACAGAAAAACTGGTGGAACTGGAAAGCCCTGGAAAGCCCATGTATATATGTTTGTTTATTATTTATTATTAAATAAGTAATTTTTCCTTTTTGTAGAATTCTTGTGTTTAATCCTTTCCACTCTTTATAAACCCGTATGGGATTAGATTTGTTAAAAAGGGGCACTGGTCTATGTGCATATGTGCCGAAAGGTTTTTTTTTTCTGCTACACAACTTTGTTACCCTATGTAACATTATCACACTTATCTGTTCATCCCCTGTTTCTATGTAAATGTAGTGCTTACCCCCATGGGCGGCGCTGGTGATGATGTGTTCTCTGTTCTGCAACGATTCTTAAAGCCTCTTGGTCCAGACTGACACACCTTGGTATAGATTGAAGGCCTCTCACACTTGTGTAACTTAAATGTTATTATGCTATGACTCTATTATACTCCGCAGGAATTAGGCCAAGAAACTGATGGTGGATTAAATGGGTGTAGTAAAGCAATACACATACACAATCCATAAATCGATGAACAGGCAATCAAACAGATTTCAAGATACAGTACTAGATAAAGGGGCACTGACCCATAAGCTGGCAATCAATTGAACTGGAACAATATTGAACCAAATTATAACTGGTGTAAAATGGGTTTAAAGTATAAGCATTAACTAGCCCAGAAAAATAAAGGTCCTAGTGTGCACTATGCAAACAGCCCAAATAGTGAGTGGGCATACGCATTCCTGCAAATGGGTACCCCTGGGGGTAGTTGCAAAGTACCTAGCGCCTAGTTGTCCATGTTGGCCAGCTTTTGTTGGGGCCCTTCTGTGTGTGGTGCACTTGTAGCTATCCCTTTAAAAGTGTATAATGGATGGCTAGTAGGCTGCTAAACAAGGGAGCTGTCTCTGTTGCATAAACTGTGTCAGTGTTGAGATAAGCACAGATGGTTCAACTCACTCCTCCTGGTACACATGAATTCAATCCAGATCATTTGGTGGTCTGCAGTCCTCTGAAGGTAGGTTTCAGAGGCTCAGTCTCTCAGATCCTCACAAAGTGCAACCTCTTAGCTTGGATCCCCACAAGGTTCAGTCAGCTACAGTGAAGAGAGGGGAAAGAAGATGGCTGATTCCTCTCCCTTTGTATTGCCGATTGACTCGCTATCACTGCTACCGTCCACTCATTCAGCAGCCAAGACAGCAGCGCCAGAAGTGGGCAGGGGCTTCAGGGCAGATCACACAGCAACTGGCTACATAAGTAAATGCATTCTCAGATTATGGATATAATTTAAATTTAATTTTCCATTTGCACAGTTAGTGTGAAGTTGCTAATCCCAATTGAACCTTTTGTTTAAATTAGCTCATTACATTCCAGGTGCATCAAAACAAAAGATGTCTTTCTAAAGTAGCTGCAGTCTAAGTAGAAAAGCTTGTCCCCCGTCAGCAGCTGCAAAGTCAAAGCCCTGGTCTCTGTGGAAAAGCAGTGTTTTTTCTGCAGAGGTCTTACATGCTCTATGCTGATTCTGGCCTATAGCTGCAATCAATTAAGCTCATGTTCCCAGCTGATTGGAGAGCTCTGGCTATGATTCAGCAGGGGGCATGTCACACCTCTGCAGGGAGACCACTGCTTCCCCACAAAGAGCAAGGATCCTCTGCAGCATGCTGGCAGGGAACAGGCATTTCTACCTAGGCTGTGGCTGCTTCTTAACATAAACAGACTAAGACTTGAATTACATTTTGTTTTGATGCACTTGGAATGTATTTAGCTGATTAAAAGTGAAGATTCAATTATGCTTTAACAAAAATCTCTTTCCTTGCACTTATTCTAGGTTCCTCTCCAGGAGCGTTGTTGTATTTAGATATTATGCTGCCTTGGGCACATCTGAACAATGATGCCAGTTTATAAATGTTCCACATCTTGTGATCACATTTAACCTCTTAGCGCCTGCGCCTCCTGACCCTTTAATAGTTTTAGAAGCCGGGAAGCGGGGAAGGGTTTTAGGGTCATGGGACCTCCGTGATTCACCGTAACGGCGGTCATATGATCGGAAAAGGTCCCGATCGCAAGGGGAGATTGGGAACTTTCCGTGAGTCATGGACATATGTTCTGGTAACGCGCAGGGCGCGTGCACTCAGCACATATGTATTTTCTAATGGCACGCAAATATGCGGCCGCTCGCCATCAAGGCCCAGACGCCAAGAGGCCGCATATTTACATGCATATATGCTAAATTCATATATAGATAACTAATCATCAGTAAGGTGACATTGTGCAAATTCATATTCAACTAGAATCTGTGACTAATAATGAAAAAAATAAAAAAAATCAAGATGGCCGCCGGGACTCCTCGTGGTGCCGGCGGTGTAGCGTCAATCAGCTGTAGCTATTATTATCTTCCGCGTTTCGAGCTATGGCTCGTAGTCATAGGGATTCAGCTTAGGATAGCTCGAAATGCGTCAGAGTATAGCTACAGCTGATTGACGATACACCACCGGCACCACGAGGAGTCCCGGCGGCCATCCTGATTTGGTCAGTATTACTCTTTTTTTATACCCATCTGCCTGAACTTTGGAATAAATATCCTTGACATACTACACTATTGGCTTCCTCTGTTTTTTGAGCCCCTGTGGGAGCTCATCATGATTGCAGAGCGTATGCTATTGGAGTATGGATTATGAAGCAGTGGAGGCTACATGACCAGATCTGACCAGACCTATGTGAGGGCGTCTGACGTGTGTTTTTATGATATACAAATGCGCATAAAGATTGCGTATCTGGTGAGTGCGCAGTCTTTACCTTTTTTTCTCACCTTTTCACGTTTCCGGTTATTGGACGCCTGAAGATCATCAGCGATCTTGTTCACATTGTTATTTTGGACTCATTTAGATTGGTTATAGATCTTTCACAATATTAGCCACATAATATAGTGGCATACATGCTTGCACAATGTCACCTTACTTATCTATTTATATACAAGGCTCATTAATTTGTGGACGTCTATGCGTCCGTCTGTGATTTCAACCACACTGTCACCTTTGGTGACACCTTGGTATGCTCAAATTTTTTTTTTTTTTTCATTATTAGTCACAGATTCTAGTTGCATATGAATTTGCACAATGTCACCTTATTGATGATTGATTATCTATATATGAATTTAGCTTATATACATTATATTTGTGATTTTTACCAGCGCTGCACCCTTTTAGTATATTACTGTTTACCTGAAGGTCTTATATGGTGCCTTTGGTGCATGGTTGCTATTTCCTGTGTTGATTGAGCGCTCACTTATTTTCAACTGCATATTTACATGCACTCAGCGTCAAGGGGTTTAGTACAAACTACTACTAGAATGAGCTATTAGAGGCAGCATGTTGTCTCCTTTATATGTGCAAACCAACAAATAAGAGCTGTAAAATGCTTTGTGATTCATCTCATTATCTCCTGGACCAGCACCACCCTTATCTCTGCAGTTGTGACTAAACTTAGCCACAGTTTATTCTTAGCATGTTGCATGTTCTGAATAAAGTTGACCCAATAGGCATATGAAGCAAAATCACTATAACAATATTGAGCATGTGCTGCTGTCAACTTTATAGGTAACCTCAGTGTGTGTCTACTGTATTATTTTTCTCTATTTTGCTTTTGCACCAGCCCAAAGGGGAATATAATTGAACACCTTTTTCTGAAGTGATTATGGAAAATGATTATAAAACGTTTTTTGTTTGTTTCGTTGCTTTTTCAGATAAGGTGCACATTAATTGGTTAAACAGTGGAACTTATAATTTGAGGTTAAAGTCCATGGAAATTCCGACTATTTCTGAACCACCTCCCACAGTCCACAATGTTAAATCTAAAGGTAAAAACATGCAGGACAGTTTTCATTGCAGTGCTAAAATGTGTACTGTTCTTTTAATGTTCTTATGGCTTATTTCAGAAGTACTTTGTTCACCAGAAACCAACTTTTTAGTAACTGGATTGTATGCTAAACAGTAGGAGAACAAACATTTTCACCTCCAGAAGTTATAGATAGCTGGAAAAGACAATGAATAGGGCACAATTTTTTATTATATACCTTGACAGTTTATTTTTATTTTCTTCTCCCAATATTTCATTTTCAACTACTAAAATTATTATTGTGATTAATGTGAGTATTAGGATTATTATTAAATCATGCGGTATTTTAGTAGTGAAAAGATGTGGTAATGTTTCAGCTGTCAACAGGGTTCCTCACTGACAGCTGAATGTAAAAAGAATTGTGGGCCTCTTCCCTACAACCCTGGCCTGTGGTTGTGGGGGGGTCTTATCGGAACCTGGATGCCCCCTTTAACAAGGGGGCTCCAAGATCCCAGGGCTTTCAGATTACAACAAGCCCCCTGCCCGCAGGCCCCCACAACCATAGGCCAGGGTTGTGGGGAAAAAGGCCTTTGTTCCCATCAACATGGGGACAAGGTGCTTTAGGGGGGAGCCCCCCTGCCCCAAAGCACCCCCCATGGTGAAGGCATGTGGCCTAATATGGTTTGGGGGAGGCATTCACTTGTCTCCCCACTTTCCTGACCCACCAGGCTGCATTCTCAGATAACGGTCTGGTACAGATTTTGGGGGGTCCCCACATCATTTTTTTTTTTTTGGCATGGGGGTTCCCCTCAAAATCCATACCAGACCTGAAGGTCTTGGTATCGATGGGGGGGACCCCTGGCCGTTTTTTTTTTTGCCAAATTTTTAATTGCAGGTAATTCTTTTTACATTCAGCTGTCAGTGGGGAACCCCCGCTGACAGCTGAACCATTACTGCATGTTTTCACTACTAAAATACTGCATGACTTAATATTTTAGTAGTGCTTTTAAGTATAAATGCCTTTTTTTAAAAAATGCTGTGCAGTATCTTACTGCATACTAGAATGATATTTTGATTAAAAAAAAAAAAAAACAGCATGGGGACCCCCTAATCCTTACCAGACCCTTTAGGTCTGGTAGGAGGGTTAGGAGGAACCCCACAGTAGAATGGCGTGGGGTTCCCCCTAAAAGCTGTACCAGGCCCCTGAGGCTTGGAAGGATTTTTAAGGGGAACCCCACTCCCAAAAAATGGGGGGGGTAAGCACTAGCCCTTGATCCAGCACAGGCCTGGAAGGCCAGGAAAGGGGGGGCCAAATGAGTGCCCCCCTCCTCCTGAACCCATCCCGGAAGAGGGGACTAGGGCCTCTTCCCCACAACCTTGGCTTGTGATTGTGGGAGGTGACTTATCGGAATCTGGAAGCCCCCTTTAACAAGGGGCCCCCCAGATCCCAGCCCCCCCCCCCTGTGTGAATGAGTATGGGGTACATGGTGCCATTCACAAAAAGAAAAGTGTAGTGGAAAAAAATGACAGTGGACAGTCTTTGACAAGTCCTTTATTAAAAAAAAAGACAAAAAATGGTTCCATCAAAAAAAAAAGACAAAAAATGGTTCCATCAATGTAATCATAAATCATGGCGTTCATCATTGTCACGACGATGCCAACTCTCCAAAATAAAAAAAATTATACCCGTAGACCCCGCACCCGCTGAGCACTTGCCGAATCTGACATTTACCGGTCAGAATTAAACAATTGGGCGGAGCCAGCTGTGGTGTTAGCGCTAGCTCCGCCCAATTGCGCTGTCTTTGAGGACTCCCAGGTGTAAGCCATCTGGTCCTGGGGATTTATGTACATTAAGTTTTCCTAGTCTTTTATCAACACTAGTCTCTGTCAGCCACAAGAGTACATACAATACAATGTTAATAACATTACTATCTTGTTTATTATACCTTTCCTTTTACAAACTGAGGATTGCATTTAATGCAGTTTGTAACGGAACCGGAACCCAGACCGCACTGAGTTTTTCCGTTATAGCACAACTTCCCCTGTCCGAACACCATTCACGGACCACGCCCTTGAAATCCCGCAGGAAAAAGACAGCACCCAGCTCTTCTTAATACAGGAAGCCAACTCTTTTTATTTGTACACAAAACACAGGATATATACAGAGGGCGGGGAAACACAACCAGGAACAGGAAATACAGCATCACCCCTCCCCATCCCACCAAGGCACAGAACAATGGGATGAAACACATGGCAAAGGACATTGACCAACCCCCACACCAATACACAAACAGTACATCCCATAATAGTTGGCTGGACAGGAAGACACAGCACAATGGGGGGTAGTACATGGCAAACAGACAATGGACAGCCATGTGACCGAGAACAAAGGAACACACACTATACACAAGACTCAGACATTCATATACACACCCTATACCCCTTAAACAGGCACAGGGTGGGTTAAACATAATGATTTGGGGAGATGATACAGAGGTCCCCCCACCCCCAAAAGTCACTCCCGTCACACAGTTAAATGAACAAAGCCTTTTTACTCTCAACTACACCCTAACTGTAAGTGCCCTATATATAACTACAGAGTTGCATTCTTCTCTTTATTATACAAATAAAAAGGAAAGGTATAACAAACAAGACAGTAATGTTTATAACATTGTATCAAATGTACTCATGTGGCTGACAGAGAACAGTGTTGAAAAAAAAGAATAGAAAAACAATGTGAATAAATATAGATTCAATACAGTTGCCTTCTCCCTGTCATTTGTGACCAACTTCCCCTGAACATTTTTTATCAGGCCAATATGTTCTGACCTAGGTTTTTTTCACTATTAATACAGTATATTTGAAAAAAAAAGTACTCTCCTCAGTAAAGTGTCTTGTCACAATCTATTTTAGTTGTCCTGATTGTGCTCTTGCATTTCTTATTGCATTCCTTGTAGTTTTGGAATACTGAAGGTGACCTTTCAGTCTAATACTTTTTAAAGGACAGTTTTTTTTCTCGGTACTATGACTTTATACCTTATTATTTAGCCACCCAGATTTAACTTCTGTACTTTTACCTGTTTCCCAGTGAAATGCAGTGACAAATTCTATTGTTTTATATATCCCTAAAACACTTCAACTTTTCTTCAGTGTGTTCTTAGTTGCAAGAATTTTAACCCAATTAGTATCATCTAGTATGGAGCGTAGTTTTTTTAAATGGACTCTTATGAAATTAAGTGTACTTATCCTTCCCCCATGTCTCCCTTTCCTAAAATTTACGGCAAACATAACTACTCTGTGATTGCTATTGTGTAAATTATCACTTACTTCTACATCTGTAATCAGCTCTGTGATGTTTGGAATTAGTAGGTCCAGCAGAGCATTAACTTTAGTTGGGGCTTCTGCCATTTGACACATGAAATTGTCCTGCATTACATTCAAAAAATGTTGACCCTTAATTGAGTATCAAGATAGTTTAATCTAATATTAGTTGATTATAACATTGCTCTGCCTCCCTGCCCTTTTTAACTGTGAAAGGACATGTGTCACCTTCTCCTCCTTAAGGTTAAGCGGCCTAAAACATATGCTCACAATTTACGGCTTGTTTTTGTTTTTGAAGATCCAGCCACAAAGGCTCCACCACCCCACTAGTGCTATTAGCAATGTCATCCCTCATGCTCAGCATCAAATCACTCTTGACATACAGGCACACCCTTCCCCCTCTTCTACCTACCCTGTCCCTCTGATATAGGGAATACCCTTGGATAGTTTCAAACAAGTCATGTGACCTGTCAAACCAAACCAATATTCCCATAAAGTCAAAGTTTTGCTCAAACGTCAGAAGATCTAGTCCATCCATTTTATTAACTAGACTTTTAGCATTTGTGTACATAGCCTTTACCCTTTAAATGTGTAAAAACATATATTGTTTTATCATTGTTAGTTAGATTTGGCAAGCCTATTAGCATTGGTCGTGAATACTTTAATTCTTCTATCATCTGGTTTGAGGCCCCTTTCCTCCTGAACTTTCCCTACATCTTCATATTCTGACCTAGCATAAGCAATGAACCAAGCCTGCCTACACAGTTTAACTACTCGTTATGTTGACCCAGTTGCAATATTATCTTGCTGACAATTAAAGTGACACTAAACTTTGGACTAGAAAAATATTCTATTCAAGTATGCATTCTCAACTAAAAAATGTACCTTCTATTGCTCTCAACTTTCTCCAAATCTCCAAAACTCCTTTCTTTTTCTCTGCTGCTGTGTTCTGACTTTCTGTTAGAGGGTGGTTACGTTCATTCTCCATGTTCCCATTGTATGTAAATATGTACTTACCCTTGTTTGCTCACTCCAGGGATGGACTAAAGACTATGGCGTGTGTAGTGACTGCATCTAACGTGCACTGCTCATTCCAATATAAAATAAGTGAGGGAAAAGGAGAGGTTCAGAAACTTACAGAGAATGTTACAAGGAGGCTGAAAAACACATTAAGAAACAACTTTAGGCAAAATTGATTACATGGCTATTAAGTAATCAATGTGTACAGTTATTTTTGGAGAATAAAGATATTGTTTAGTATATTTCATGTTTACAGAAAATCTTTCTACCTTGCTATGTGCTTGAGTCACTCCCAGGCAAAATGGACACAAACTCAGAGAAGGATTTTGTCTACTGAATAAAAAGAATCAATGATACCTTTGTCATGGGGCTACCTGGGGTTATATGGAAATATATAATCATACAACACTAGCCTGAATTCTACACTTACTTTGCATATGAACAATTTATAGAGAAAGCCATGGCTAAGCAGTGTCAGAGGAAGCCCTTGAATGGATTGGGTTTTTTTTTTTTTTTTGGAGTAAATGACAATATTAGCAAATTACCATTCCACAGTTCACCAGTTAATATTAATAACCAATACTGAAAAACACAGAAACTTGGCTGCAGAGGCTATGATAGTAGACACATATGAAACATACCTCTCCTATCCATGATAAGCCAGAAAAATAATTTTCAGTGGGCAAAGGAATTTGAATTTATGAATCCCAGTTCCAATAGCTTTACCATTATGGTAGAGACATAATGCCTTAGGGCAGTGTTTCTCAACTCCAGTCCTCATGGACCCCCAACAGGTCATGTTTTCAGGATTTCCCTCAGATGAAACAGCTGTGGTAATTACTAAGGCAGTGAAACTGATCAAATCACCTGTGCAAAATAATGGAAATCCTGAAAACATGACCTGTTGGGGGTCCATGAGGACTGGAGTTGAGAAACACTGCCTTAGGGTAACCTTGTGGAGTCACTGCCACAACACACAGAAGCTGTTATCAGTAACTAGGATCGTCCAGCACAGTACTGAATTATGTACAGTATATTAACATTGCAAATACTCTGCACGTGTACACTAACTGTACAGTAAACGGCAGTTGTAGCCAATTAGTAACCAAATGCCAGAAAGTCCATTGAATTGATCTTCATCAGAGATTTCTGCAGTCCAAAGTTCATAAAAGTCTTCAGTTTTCACCTGGAGGGTACTTTCTGAAGAAACAACATAAAATGCTCCATGCTTGCTATATCACTAATCAATTTCTAACTTCCAAGGTTTGAATGTTGTTGGTGGCAGAGAAACTTTTTAACATTGGAAATGTGATAAATAGGGATCTTAGTTTGATAGAGACATCATATAACCTGTATTTGGTAGTTGTCATTGCAAAGAAAAATGGGTTTCCAAATTACATTATAAAAAATAGATGTAGGATGAACCAGCACATTATAGCAGTGTAGCACTTCTATTTGGATTTCAAGGTTTAATTTTAAATGACGACTGGAGTCAACCTAAGGTTGTTGCACTTATTGCTTCTTCTTAAGAATTCCAGTCATTGGGAATTTTCATGTATGCTGACTTATTTCTCTGAAATAATAAAACTGATGTCTGTTCAGTATTCATTAGTATAGATTCACCAGCACACTCAAATATATATTACATGAAATAGTAAAGTTTGACTGTGAATTAAATAAATACGACTGGGATAAGCTTGCCATAGACAATATGACTGTCAGATGTGGGCAAGCTAGTATCACCAAATAATCATTTATGCATACTCTGAAGTATGGATGTTTTGCATTGCCTTGATAAAATCTTTAAAAGATGACTGTATATTTGGAAGAAAACTATTTAATCTTATGTCCCTAAAGATTACACACAGCCACACAATGAATTTGAAAGAGAAGAAGTTCAGTCCTAATATAAATAAGGGGTTATTGATTTTAGAGCAGTAAGGATGCGGAACTCCCTTCCACAGTTAGTGGCGTCAGCGGGTAGTGTAGATAAATTTTAAAAACTTTTAGATGTACACAATGTACAGGGATATGGAAAATGGCAGTGGCAGTAACACACACTCAAGTTGAAATGAATGGGCAAATCTCTTTTTTCAGCCTTACCAACTATGCAACTATGTAACTATAGGGACAAACATTTAAGAGAAGCAATAGAGCAGTGGTTCTCAACCTGTGGGTCGCGACCCCTTTGGGGGTCGAATGAGCCTTTCACAGGGGTCCCCTAAGACCATCAGAAAACACATATTTCCGATGTGTAAAGAGCAGCTACTGTGTAGAAAGCAGCTGCTGTGTTGAAAGCAGCTACTCTGTTAAAAGCAGCTACTGTGTTGAAAGCAGCAGTATTGGAGGTAAAATGACACTCATGAATTATAATTACTGGGTAAATAATTTTATGGTTGGGGGTCACCACAACACGAGGAACTGTATTAAAGGGTCACAGCATTAGGAAGGTTGAGAACCACTGCAATAGAGGAATAAGGGACCTGGCCAGAAAGATATCTTACAACCACTGATATCTGCTGGTAATCACAGGCTTAAAGTGAACTTACTCTAAATTGGTATGGTACATCTCATAGCTGCCTAGTCCCATTATTATTCTCAGTATAAGATACCTCTTGGGTGAGATACAGAATGGTTGTATTAAAAAGCAGAGTTTGCATACTGATTGAGCAAACATGGTTGTATTCAAGTATGTATATTGTTACACATTGAACCCAGAAATAAGGGTTTGTTTGTTTGTTTGTTTGTGATGTCTTTGTATGGTAGGTACAAAGCAGAATAAATTACAAAATCGTTATATAAAAATAATATCATTATTATTATTATTATTATTATTATTAATAATTAAATTATGTTATATGTCTTTACAGAGAAATTGTGGACAACTGCTGCTGATGAGTCGGTTGAGCTGCGAATTGATCCATGCTGTCCACAGCCTCCTGTGACTGTGCATCAGATGTTTATGGAGTGTGTTGATAAATACGGAGATTTTAATGCCCTTTCCAGTAAAAAGAACGGTATCTGGGAACATGCAAGCTTTTTGGAGTATTATAAACTCTGTCGACAGGCTGCCAAAGGTTTCTTAAAGGTGAGGCTATTATTTTATCGACCTCAGACTGAACCACATTTTTCCTGAGGAAGCACTGGTGGTGTCAATTCTAATATAAACACATTAAAATTAACAGAAAAAACAGTTTGTTATATATAGAACTGATATGTAATCGATGATGTATGCACACTAGATAGGGGAACTGTGTTCTGCCTCTGGTGTGGATGTGAATCACTGTTATTGTAGAACAGCCGTTAGTTAACAGAAGACATCACCCTGACTGCAAGTGGATGTTCACCTCTGAGAAGCTGAAAATGTCCCATTCCTAAAAAGTTAGTTACCAAAGAAATGTTCCAATAAATACAACACTTCTATTATACCAACATCATTGCGCCAATATAATAAAGAGAGGAAATACACTCACTGGATGCTGCTATTATTAAAAAACTCAAAATAATAATAAAAATGTGAAAAATATACAAATCACAAATAACAGCGCAAACCAAATCACACAACTAAATATAACCACCACCAAATAAGTGCATATTAATAGTGCAAACAAAAAATCAAATAGGGAATCTCAATATAGTCCATTCAGAAAATCAAATAATGAGGATCATGTTTATATGGACTTTTCTGAATGGACTATATTGAGATTCCCTATTTGATTTTTTGTTTGCACTATTAATATGCACTTATTTGGTGGTGGTTATATTTAGTTGTGTGATTTGGTTTGCGCTATTTTTGTGATTTGTATATTTTTCACATTTTTATTATAATGTCCCATTCCTGTTTGTATATATTCTACTAAAACAACATATTCTACAGACTGCTCCCTATAATGGCTATATTATGCTGTCTTTATGCGCTTGCTTGATAAACCCCAAATGGACTGTTCCACTGCCTGGCTTATTAATTTACAAAATGGAACTTTTACTTTACATAGACTATGATTGAATTTCGGAAGAATAAATGTGGTCCTTTATATATTATTTTTGTCTAATTGATCCAGTTACTTTCAGTGAAGAAAGCTGAAGGACATGTACTGATTCACCAGGGAATTTAGATCCAATGAGCAGCTACACTAACAATAATACATTAAGTGGCAATGTGCAGCCAATGTTTTCTGCTAGGTAGCTACCTATGAAGTCATACCTAAGGTAGCATACCTTTGAATCGGATCTTCACCATCTTTCTCATTCTCCCTCCTACCTTCCGCTGCTGAAATATGGATTTTTTTTTTGTTTTGTTTTTTTTACCTTTTTTTGTGAAAACACTTCTGGCCTGCTTTAAATATTCCCCCCCCCCCCCCCCCATTTGCCTAGGTGAATGATGTGAACTTTGCCTGCTGTGCCTCCTGGGATATGTACGTCACATATCCAAGGAGGCATTAGCTTTCATTGAGAAAAGAGGAGGGGAGCAGGCTTAGCGGCGAGTCACTGAGAGAGTCACCGGGCTGCACCTGGAATAACCGGCAGCTTCCCAAGGATGTCACAAATAAAGATTGGGGCACGGGACCAGGGGCGGACTGACAACTCATGGGGTCCCCGGGCAATAGGGGATCATGGGGCCCCTGTGTCCTTGCCCAAACTCAAAAAAGCCTATGAAAAAGGTACCAGGGGCATCTCATGGGGCCTCCTACTGACCCCGGGCCCTCGGGTTTCCAAATGGTCAGTCCGCCCCTGCACGGGACTAAGCATGGGTCAGAAGGAAGGAGGATCACAGCAGGACAACGCTGGATCTGGTGGGCGGGTGGGTATGTTACCTGTACAGGATGCGCAATCAGGTAAGTGGGGGTTATAAAAACAAAAAATGAGGGGAGGAGGGTGAAGGACTGCTTTGAGATCAAGGCTGGATTTGTACTTTTTGCCTCCCTAAACCAATAGTTTTATTCCATCCCTCTAATGACAGTTGATTCCATCCCTCTAATGCCTTAATTAGCTAGCCTTAGTATCACACCAACAAGATCAGTATACACATATGCCAGTACTTGCGCTAATGCCACAGGTGACCTGCATGAAGAGGGTGCAAAAGTTCAATATAAATCCAGCGTCAAAAGGGTTAATTTTCAATAGCACCACAACCTCGCTGTTCTCACAACCAGCGGGTACTGGAAACTGCAAGCACACAAACAAGAGAGAAGAGCACACAGGCTCTGGTGCCATACCCTTTATTTTATAATAAAAACTAGACAAAAAAGGCACTCATAGGCAAAAATGAATCAGAACTTATTAATCACATCTCCCCACCACGGTACTGTGCACCAAAATCCTCTCACCACTCTTGATAGGAGCTCCAGCTGATAGTGTGGATATGGCAGCAGTCCTGAACCAAATGCAGTTGCCTCTGTGCTTGATCTCATGCAAACTGACAGTTCACATGCACAGGAAGCCATGATTGGGGTCACGTGATGCAAACAGCTGGCTGCTGATGGGGTGTGTGAGCTGTTGCTACAACAACATGTTTCAGAGGGTGTAGCCTCCTTTATCAAGTCCTGAGGCTGGGGGTGGAAAAGTTGAAAATTACAATTTGCCCACTCTGTGTCAGTATTCCTAGAGGCGACAACTGGAGAAGTCCAGAAAACATTCCCCCTATTCTGCTAATAGGTTAGTTCATGGTGTAAGGATCGTTGGCGAGAAACTACAAGTACTTTGTACTTATTGCACAAATGAGGACCTGGCCAGCTTCTGCAATAGTAGTCAGGAGCCTTCTATTACACAGGGAAATGTGTTAATCAAAGGCCAGCAGCGCAGTGTTCAATTGGCTGTATGCTGCTTCTGGCAGCTCTACCACCCTAAGCCATGGCCTAGGTTGTTGATGAAGAAATCTGTCCATGATTTAGGTCTAGTTAGTGCAGAACCTCACAACACAGATCTACCCACTTACCAGGCAAACATATTATATTTCTTGGAATGTAGAGGGTTAATCTACTAAAGTGCCATAACTCATATTTACATTAAATCAAATATAAAATAATGCATTTGTTGCATAGTAAATATGAGCTAAAATATATTAATGCACATTACCATTAATAGCCACTCAGAAGTAGTATTGCCAGTCTTAAATATAGCAATGTATCCAGCAAAATCCTTGCCAATAAGTGATCTGCTAATACGGGGGAGGGGTTAATTGGTCACAGGTGATACAGGTCCAATATAACTTGCTGTAGAGCTCACTCTGAGCTTGCCTGTATTTTGCTTGCTGGACCTTTGACCAAGTGGACATTTGATAAGTGGAGTGGAAAAACAGGAGATTATAACAGGAGTCTACTAACCTGTAAGTGACAACTGATATTTCCTATTAATATTGTAACTGGGATATGAGTGCTAGCAGGGTTTAAGGTTTTGTGCGGTGCACAGTGTGCTGCATGTATGCAGCAATGGAGCAACAACTCCAGGATGGATATCGCTGCAACAGATGTGAGCGGGTTGCCCTTCTGGAAACTCGCGTTAGAGAGCTGGAGGAGCAAGTTGCATCACTGGGCAGAACCGACAACCTTGAAAGGGGTCTTCTGCTCTCTCAGCAGGTAGCTAATGGGATTGATGTGAAGGGCGGAGGGGCTAATCAGGATTATCAGGTAGGTAGATTTGTTACTGTAATGAGAGGCAGTGGTAGGGGCTCACAGAAAAGGAAGGCTGGCCCTGGGTTTGTGCACCCAAACAGATTTGCCGAATTGGGTGAAGATGTGGGCGTGGCAAACTCAGGGGTGGCAGCCCTGGATATTACTGCTATCCCTAACAGCTGGAAGGGCAGACCATCTGGGAGGGGTGGTGAGGGTAGTGCAGGAGGGCCTAGACAGCTGGTGGTAGTAGGGGATTCTATGATCAGAAGGACTGATAGAATAATTTGTCACCAGGATCGCCTCAACCAAATGGTTTGCTGTCTCCCTGGTGCCAGGGTTTAGCATGTGGTGGACCAAGTTGATAAATTACTGGGAGGGACTGGGAATGACCCAGCTGTCTTGGTCCATGTTGGAGCCAATGACAGAATACATGGAAGGTGGAGGCTCCTTAAGAATCAATTTAAAGAACTAGGCTTCAAGTTGAAGGGAAGAACCTCCAAGGTGATATTCTCTGAAATATTACCTGTGCCATGCGCAACTCAGGACATACAGGGGGAGGTTAGAGAACTCAATGCATGGCTAAAAGACCTAGTGTAAGAGGGAAGGATTTGGTTTCTAGAGCACTGGGCTGACTTTTCATTGGGGTGCAACCTATATGCTAGAGATGGTTTGCACCAAAATGGAAGGGGGTCTGCTGTGCTGGGGAGGTTTATGGGAAGGCTGGAGGAGTATTTAAACTAGGATTGAGAGGGAGGGAGAATTAGAATATAACATGGTAGACAGATCAGACAGGGGTCAGTACTTATTGGTGGGTGAAATGGGGAAAGATGGGGGGAGGGCTATGGCAGATGATAAGAAGGTTCCCATGTTACAAACAACCAGTGGAATTGGTACCATTTGTATAAAAATTAAAAATATGCAAAGCATGTTTGCACAAGGTGTCAATGTATTAAAGTGTTTGTTCACCAATGCCAGAAGTCTGCCAAGCAAAATAGGTGAATTGGAAGCTTTGGTGCATGAAGAGAACTATGATTTAATTGGTATTCATTCTTCACATGACTGAGCCATTAATATTCCTGGCTATGTTCTCTTTTGGAGAGCCAGGGTAAACAGGAAAGGTGGTAGTGTCTGTCTCTCTATGTGAGAAGTGATCTCATAGCGAGTGTGAAAGAGGACCTAGTTGATGGAGAGTGTGATGAGGCTGAGCATTATGGGAGGAACTGCACATGGGGGTGCGTACTACAAAGGTAATCATTGGAGTTTGTTATAGACCTTCCAATGTTAATGAGAAGGTGGAGACTCAGCTCCTTGCACAGATCGAAAGGGCTGCAAGGGCTGGGACAGTGATAATAATGGGGGATTTTAACTACCCGGAAATTGACTGTAGTAATGGTACTGCAGGAACAGTTAAAGGGCATTCATTTTTAAACCTACTATAGGACAATTTTATGGTACAGTTCATACAGGCCCCAACTAG